TGGAGGGCAGAACCATGGAGTGGACAGTAGAGATCTGGGCTACAAGCAGGAGCACAAAGGGGGTTTTAAGTCTGCCTGCAGGTGTGAAAAGGAGATGTTTGATCTGGGTCTAAAAGTCTGGAAGTCTTCCTGGAGGAAGGGGCATTTCACTTGGATTCAGGGATAAGGACATGAGGAAGGAAGGACTCCAGAGAGGAGAGGGGGGAAAAAGCCACCAGAATGGGAAGGAATGTGGATGTAGAGAAGGATATAACAGAAAATGAGGCTAAAAAGAGGATGGGACAATATCTTGGAGGGCTGTGAGTGCTGTCTGAAGGAACTTGGTTTTTCCTACAAGCCAGGGCTCTTAACATGGGTCCATCAAGGGAGTGCAGAGGGCCTGGAATTGTTACGGAATGTTGTCTCTCGGTGCCTTTTTCTGCAGAGAAAGTCCATGGTTCTCAGCAGATTTCCAAAGCGATTTCTGTCTCTGAAATGGTTAAAAACACTCATAATGGAGATGTGGTCACGGTGCTTAAGGAAGGGTGCCAAGTCTAGCATGTCGTTAGAACACCACTCTGGCCACTCTGTGGAGGGTGGACTGAAGGAGAGAGTAGAGGCAGGGAGACCACTCAGGAATCCGTTAGAAGAGGGGAGATGACATGGACTTCAACTAGGGCAATGTTAGTGAAGAAACAGAAAGGAACAATTAGAATGAAAAGATATTGTAGCAGTAAAGGTAGCAGGTCCTTCCTGCATGTTGGTGCTGATGGAGATGAAGAGAAAGTGTCTTTAAAGCTTGTAGTTTGTACCATAACTTTGTCACAGGAAGGTTAACACATCATTTCTTTATTAATGCTTTTATCTTTCCCTCCCATTTAGAGGATACTTTTAAAAGCATGCATGGGATAAAGAATTTATATAGACACTGTCTTGTAAAAGCTTTCCTCAGACCTCTAGATAGTGGTCTGAGGTCTGAACGTACAGTGTTATCCTGTATGCTAAGAGAATGATCCAGTCCACACAAGTAACCAGTTGGTGCACAGGAAGGCCCTATTTGACTGTATCACATCCACCAAAAAGACCCAAAATAAATTCTTTTAGGCCAACAAATATTTAGCTTCACTCCCAGTGCAAGAAACTACAGGCTGGATCAATAGTTCAACAGCTAAAGCATCATAAAAGAGTCATTGTGAATGTTACATTTCCTTCGGGTGTAAAACAAATTCCAGTTTCTATTTGCTTATTCACTGTGACAGTATTGCTAAGCAGGTAAGGATGGCAATATTTTGTTAGACCATGTAGTGACTATATTGTACTCTATCTGTGAAAACGGGGCTTTAAATCATATTTTTCATATGTGATGCTAGGGACAGAATAAGTTTGGAAGTGACCGATGTTTGTTTTAGGACTGACGGCAACTTAATGAATCAAAATTCCTGTCAAGAACAAGTGCTTGGAAGGGGAGGGGAGAGAACACTGCAAAGATTAAAACTAAGAAACAAAG